TCAGTTAGTTCAAGCGATGTCTAAGCTTAAACACCGCTCTGTCTGATGACTCAACAAGCAACTCTGTAACATAAAACGTTGCTTAGCTATACGGTCATCAGGATGAACTACTGTTCCAAAAATACCCAACAACTCCAACTTTAACCCTTGACTCCTCAAAAACTGGACATCAGATTTTCTTCAAAATGTTTTTCAGTGAAGTATCAACATAGTATTACAAAAGTCTATAGATCTCATTGATCATCTCTTTGTACAGGAGGAGAGTCTGCTGGTTGAAATTAGCCAGTTTACGGTATTTAGCGTATATAACACCATAAAACGATCCTCCATCTTTTCCTATAAGTTTTTACTATAAATGTTATACAAGTATGGGCAGCTTTTGACGCTCAATTCAGGTATGATGTTAGTTTCATCGTTTCTGACATAGAAATTTGAAACAAAAGAGTGATCTGTAACTCTGCAAAGACATAGTATTGACCGTAGTTCTACATCTTGAAGAGAATTTTGCACTCTTTGTGCTATCTGTATCAAAAAAATTTACGTCTGTGTCTAGAATAGAGGAAAAGATGTCGCAATTTAAAAAGCTGTGAAAAAGTCTATCGATCATATTCAAGAAAATCCATTCCAAACCTTCATAGACATGAATACTTTTTAGGTTTCAACAAAAGCATTTTGTAGATCTTTTTAAGCTTTTCCTTCTATTATCGGCGCCAAAATACAGCGTAAATTGCCATTTTTTTAATAACTCAATAACAGCGTAACATTATTTCATATAATATAGGTTTTCACTAGGTTTTTCGAACTTGAAAAAATTCTTATACCCACTGTATCCGTTTTCTCAAGATTCATATGTGTGAACGTCAAATACCAGGTGATTTCTCTCAGCATTTAATTGATAACAGAAAATATAATTCATATTTAACAACAAACAAAAAGTGATCAAAAACAAATTCATTAATAACAAGAAAAATAACAAAAAAGAGAAAATTCTTTTTATACATAAAACTGAATTGGTACAAATTAAAATAAAAGAGATATACAGATTATTTTGTTTATCAAAATAAAAATAAAGCACCAATAAATATGTGTAAATTAGAAAAACACAAAAGAGAGCGCAAGGCATAAAGAAAAGATCGATGATATATTTCCTTTTATTTGTTTGTTTGTTTTTTCATTGAAATTTTTCTACGAGATCAAATTTTAAGGTTAACATTGTAGCACAGTTGAAAGACGAAAAGCTCGATAAGTTAACGATCTTTAAGTGAATGAGATTATTGAAGATTAAAAAACTACTTTCATCAGTAAGACATTCAGTTTTAGTTTTCTCATTCAGCAAGCGCATTTTTGGTATTGTCCAGAACAAAAGTAAAAAAGACAAAAGAAAAGTAAATATTATTATTTGAACATGCTATTATGAGAAAATAAGTGAGAGAAATGCACAACCCCATTGTCGATCGTTTCATTCATGCACGTACACGCACAAAATTATTGCACAGAAAGAAAATATCAAAATAACAATAAAAATTAACGAAGGTACCACGTTTGATTACTAACTAATTCACAACATTTATTTTTGTCATTGCTAATGGAATTAAATGTTTATTTTTTGATTTTTTACGTTTTGTTATTATTTTATTATTGATATTTTGTGGACAACAATTTTCAATTAATAAATTAGAATAAGATGGAGATGTTGGGGTGTATGGAACAAGTTGTGAACGATTTAAGTCATTCGATGTTAAATCTGGAGTTGAATTCGAAAAGGACATCGTTTGATTCACTGTTAACAAATTTTTGCTCTCTTTGATCTCGTTCTTATCACAGTTATCAAGTACATTATCACTTATCACTGTCGCTTGTTGAACTAAAAGCAGAAACAAAAACATCTTCTCACATTGACAAAATCGATATTTTCGCAATTTTAATAAAAATATATTCAAACAAAACTGCATATTTTATCGTACTATAAATAAGAACTGTTGGTATGATTGCTCTGAAAGATATGTGCCAGTCAAACAGTTTCTTGAACTAACCGG